ATATATCGAAAATACCGATAGCATTGGATCAAAAAATTCCTATACGCATCTAGCCAACCTCTTTCACGATAACTTGTATAAGAATTTACGGCGAGTCGTAAAACGGTCCTGAATCTCTTTCGCATTCTCAATAAAAGTGACTGCGACTAATACAATGGCCCTCGATCAGAAACCATCTCTGCGGATGTAGCGACGTCTCGTACATCGGTTCTTTTACAGCCGGATCGAAGCATCGATTCTTCGGACAATATTCTTGGATCCGTATTACGACTTTAAGTGACATAGACGAGGATATTTCGAACGAATCGTGATTAAGAGTTGATACTTAAATGCAGTAATTTCAAACACATATTTAAATACTTGATGTTCAAATCTAAATTCTGAATTTATTACTTCAACTTATAAAAAAGCAACTGAATTCAAAGTTTGATCGCAGTCATAAATGCACGTCAAAATCAATTTTACACTACTTCATTATTTTGCATCTAATTATAAGTGATACCGTTAACTTTTGCTACAATACAATTGTCGAATTTCGACAAATTAATCGAACAAAAGTTGATAATTAACAAATCTGGCCATCTTTATGTCTAATTCAATAATCATTTTTTAATCGAGAATATTTTTGTATCTGATTAAGTCTATCTTATAATGTAAATTGAATAAGAAATATACATGTGCTCATAAAATTATAAGTACGATGATTGTAAAAATAAAAATAATTTTTTATCAAATATATGTTACAAGAAGATAAAATAATTTCTTTTTTTTTAAATTAAAATCGTGAATAGGAATAGCTTCTTACAATTTTCTGACAAAAATACATATATAGCTTCATTTTCTTTTTTATCAATAAATATGCAACTAATTTTACGGAAACGCGAAATATTTTTCATATTATACCAAAGAGTCTGGGGAAGGAAAATTTACATCGTGCCAACTTTCCCCGGATGCTCTTCGAATAATTTTCTCGCGCCAGCTTCACCGACTTTATCTCCCGAGAACGGAGTACACGGTGCATTCGCCGGTTAAAGGTCGCGGACCTCTAATCTTGAGTGGGTCGAAACGCAAGGTGGCGAGCACTTGGGCGAGGTCGTCCTATATTTAAGGGACCTTCCCATAAAGGACAAAAGTTGTGCGCCGTATCGCAGATGCGCGAGCCGGGCCGCCGCGCTGGAAACGGTTTTAACGTCTCGGTCGTCCAGAGCCGGTAATGGCCCCGGTCGGAATAGTTTCAGAAAAATGGCCACGGCGGCTGAACTTACAGTTAAATAAACGCCGGCGTGTCCGTGTGCGTCGGTACGGCCTGGATAAAACGATTTACTGGCGCCCCCGCGAGCGGATAACGCTCGCCATTTGTACGTAATTCCAGCGGGCGCTCTCGCGTTATCCGCTCCGCGAAATTGTTATGGCGAAACTAGTTCCCGTTCTGCCACGTCGCAGGTATCCAGGTTACCTGACTGAGTGGCGAATCCCGAGTGAAATCGTGGTCTCTCGAAATCCAGGAGAAATTAAGGTTTTACGATATTATTTTTTAAGGTGACATAACGTTGGGCAATTATTAGAATTACGATTCAGGACAGGCGATTAATGATTTTAAGCACGTTAATGTTATGTATCTCTTGTTGTTTCAGTTTCATTCAGGTTTTAGAGCAAATATCGCGCAAGTTTTTAGCGTAAAAATGTGTTTCATGAAGATTTCACATACACATAAACATATATACATGTTTTAGAAATTATCCTGCATGCCTTATTTTCAATCTCAAATTTATCGCATCGATATTTACAAGCTCTTCAACATTCCAAGTGTTAATCGTAAGCGTATTTTCTGGTTGCGCTACTTATACCGCGACAATTATTCTACAACGTCGTCGCTACGAACGTGCTCGAATTCAAGGGACGCGTTACATCTTAATTACGTTCACGTCGTCGGATACGAATCCAGAAATTCGAGCCCGTGTCTGCGAACAGGGAAAGCTCGTAGGTGGAAGCCGGGGAAGAATGTCCGCGGATTAAGTGGAACGAACGTGACTTAAATCCATTGTAACCCCTTGGAACGTCGGTATCGTTTGTAACCGTCACGGTTGTATCTACAACGCGAAAGAGGACGAGAGAAAGAGAAATGAAAAAGAAAGAGAGAAAGAGAGAGAGAGAGAGGAAAATGTGGAAGGGCCAAGATTAAGAAAGTAAGGAAACAGAGAAAAGGGAGAGAGAGAGAGAGAGAGAGAGAAAGCGAGAGATAAGTGAGAGAGAGGGGTTCTCTTAATCTCGCTTTTACGTGCGCTTGACAAACGAGGAATGCGGATGACACTGGCATTGTACTCTCCCTCGTATTATCCGTACGATCGCGCGGATCTCGCATTCTACTTGGCGGGCGTCTTTTGCAGCACCTCTCATTTGCGTGTTGCCGCGATGAAGATATCGACTTAACACCTAGATGCACTCGAATTGCTTGGAGAAAGGAAGGGAAGGAAGAGAGAGAGAGAGAGAGAGAGATGGGGGAGGGAGAAGTTCTTACCATGGACACGAACGTCTCGTTGTTGAAACGGCATTCTTTCGCTAATGGATATGGTTCCTGCAAACTTGATATCCACCGAGTCGTTACGTCTCTCTACTCGCAATCCGAGGAACTTTCCTCCGATTCTTTTAACGTTGGAATTTTCTTGCCGAGAGAGGCGCAGCAAATTCAACGGTTAAAAATTCAAGTTTTGGATAACATCAGGATTGATAAAGATAAGGCCACACAAGCTCAGTTATGCATAGCATGTTCCGATGTTTAATTAAAGCGTCGCGAATAAAATATATACGACCAAGAGATCTTTTTTTGCGTGTTCGTATACCTCATATACATGCATGTATAATAAATATACAAATAAAAAGACGCGCAAATTTGAGCATGCATTTTCAAAATGATATACCAATTTATATAATCAATATAAAAGAATTATAATATAAAAGTTATATAATAAAAAATTATGACCATTTCAAATATCGTAGAGAAACAAGGCATGCATCCGTATTTGCGTTTACATTTTTTTGTACATCATGTTTCATTCGCACTTCATATTCATGATACGTTTGGTGATCGTTGTTGAATAAAGTCTCTGCTTTCACTTGGACGAACTTAACGACGGACGTTTACCGCGCAAATATATCCCTACTGCCATTATGTCAGCGGCTAGAAAGGCCGAAGTATTACAAAGTTGGAGTTGCAAGTTACTTCGCATTCGCCATTGTTAAAGTTACTATGAGTTTTCGTCTCCTTGCTTTCAGATAACAGTATCATCTCACATTTTAGTTTGAAGTTTGTTCGCGTAATGCCGTAAACTTTACATTTCAAAAGAATTGTAAACACACACGCGCGCGCGCGCGTATATATATTCACAGTTTGATAATATTTTATATCTTCAATTTTTAAAGATTTGAAAGGTTGTAACAAAATTACGATTGTGTCATAAAAATGCTTGAGCTACATTAAAACATATTTCTAATATGATGTATGTGCTTTAGAGCTGCAAATAAACAATCAACTTTGAGTATTATTTACATAGGCAAATTAAATTATTTTCAGTTTGTATTTGTCACCGTTAAAGACCGCTTTGTATATTATGATATATATATATATATATATGTGTGTGTGTGTGTGTGTAAAAAATATATATTTTTGTCTCGTCAAAATTTTTATTTTAACAGGAAAAGTTTTTTAAATTTCTCTTAGAATTTGTCTCTTATCAACTTTATAAATATCAAACAAATATTAATATATGAAAAAAATCATCGTATATCATAATAGTTTTATTCAATAAAACCTGGCGAATAACGCGTTTAATGTAAAAATAATTATAAGTTCATTCATCCTCTTGGCGCACAGTTTGTAGAAATCAATTATCGCGTGCTACGGATGGTGATGAAAGCGGTCGTTATAACGAGCATATATTTCAATTAATTTTTGTTGGTATTGACATTGCTACAGGTGTCACGAATTAAACATTGACGGTACCAATTTGATGTTCCGGCCAACGTAAAAATCGATTTCGATAAATCAGAGTAAGCTCGAAACTCGATTTGTCTTGTCATAAATGACTGGAAAAATTCAGCGGCGAAAAAATATTCATTTTCTCTTGTTACTGTAATAAAACTGACCTAGTAAATGTTAAAAATTCCAAACCAGTAGTAATATACCTCTGCTTGCTTTTTACCAATAAAATATTGTACAATTTAATTTCCTAACATTTAAAAAATACATATATTTAATAATTTTTTTTTTGGCCGCTATTATGTAAATAGTATACAATTATTCAAATTTGCGCAAGAAATTCAAGAAAAAATTTTATTTAAAAGTATAAATGTGTGTGCTAAAAAAATACTTTTTTTTCACAGTTTGTGATATCTAGATTAAATGGATGTCTTTCCCTCCGTGGCGAGTCACAATTTGTGATATCTAGATTAAATGGATGTCTTTCCCTCCGTGGCGAGTGCGAATACAAAATATGAACAATGACAGAGACTCCGAAGAAGTCGAGAGTTTACGTCGTTCTCACGCTCAAGACTGAAGGCTATAGTTCTTTTTCACGATTATATTAACTTATAGTCAGCAGCAAAGAAAGAATGATGAGAAGCAGCAGTGCTCTTTTTCTTCCCTCTCTTCCTTCCTGCCCCTTTGTTCCTTCAATTTATATCGATTGTTGATTTTATAATTCTAAGTATGTATATATACGTTAATAAAGAAACGTCAAAGTCCTGATCTCAGCTTTCACATACGTAATAATCGAGCAGCACAGACGTTTCTAGCATGACGTGTGCACTTTAAAACGTTGCTCTCATTCTACAGTTGTAAATAGATAACCAGGCTTGAATGCTATTTATATGGACTGGAAACCAGTTGGTCTCCAGTTTTTATCTTTGTTGTTAGAGAGCTACAAGATCTAATAATAAGTGTTACTAAAGATTCCACGGCCTACGATATATCTATAGTCTGCTAATGTAAGCATCAGAATTTCAAGATACTTTATAGAATCAGTTCTGTAGGAGTTGATCTTATTCTCCCTTCCTAGCATAGGAGTTGATGTAACCAGGATGAGAAGCGATAGCCTTCCTTCAGCGTGAGAACGACACGAGTTCTCGACCTGTTCGAGATCTCTGTCATCGGTGATCGTTTATCTTCTGCACTCAATACAAGGGTAATGGAACGAAGGGCTTTCTGCGCGATCTACTAAGTTTCGAAAAGAAAAATATTTTTTCTCTACGTCGATAAAATTATTTTTGAATTAGCTTGCAAAATTTTACAGTTAATTTTGTATATTTCATAATATAAATATTACAAAATTTTCATATAATATAATTGTTAAAAAAAAATAATTAAATATTTCTTTCTTTTACTCTCGTTCCTTCCTTTTAGCATCTTCTTTTTCAAAAAACGTTTACGTATATCATTTCTTTTATCTTCGTCTTTGAGAACTAAGAGAACACTAACAATCGATTTAAACTTTTATACATTCTTTTTCTTTTATTAAAAATGCATCTGACAGAAATAATTAACGACTGTACCGAAGTAAATTTGCCATTTCATGCTGAAAGCGTTCTATTTTAAAAATTAAAACTATTACATTTTCTTCGTTCCCTAATTTTAGTTTTTCATGTCCTCGTTAACGTTGTAAAGATTGGTCGTTGACGTAACTTCGTAACGCAACGAGAGAAATAACTAGCACACGGCCGCGGATCCCCCAATGCAATATTCTTCTCTTTTATCGTTCCTGCCATCTGCTTTTCTCCGTCTACTCCCCTTTTTCTCTATCGCAACTTGCACTACTTGTTAGCTGTTCCTTTCAAACTTGCCACCGTAGAAAAAGGGAGCCGATGACTGCAAGTACGATACGAGGTCCTAACTAGTTGTCGGAACAGAAGTTTGCTCGGTCAGAGGTTAAAAAGAGAGTGCCGTCCGTTTGTTTATTAGAGAAGTCGTAATTGAAACGTTAATTCTTCATTCTTTGCAAAAGCCATAAACTTGTTGCAATTCGAAAGAATTGTCTAATAAAATAACGCTTTTATATTTTAACTTTAATATTAATAAAATCTGTGATATATTTAAATTTTAATTTGTTATTCTCCTTATATTTCATCCTCTCTTATTCTTCTATTACTCTTTTGTATACCGGATAAAGTTTTAATCAGGTCACACACATACACCTGATCTCGTATATTGTATCTAAGACAGAAAATAAATTGACGAATAAATTAAATTTAAGAAATATAAAAATTGAAAAGAATATATCATAAACTCGAAATTAATGATTTAGCAGCATTAATAAAAAGTGAGTGAATCGTGAGCGAAATTCGCATAACCGATAATGCGAATACATTCTTAATTTACGAAATTAATGGTATAGATGGGATACAACGGAGGAGAAAAAAGATATGCCAAAAAAATTATATTAAATTATATTGCAGATGAGAGATTTCCTGATCTTTTTTTGGTACGAAGGTAATAACGATCTTTCGGGCAAGAATACGCCGATAGCCAATTTCTCGGATATCCGATGTATAAAACTCGACTTCGGTGCCGAGTAATCTCGTTTTTATCGGCTCTCACAAAATCCTCCAATTAGCTCGCATAACATTACCGTAATTACGGTACCTACCTATCGACCAAGCCATCATCGATAGGCTTAATACATCTTCTATACGTACGTATATCCAACCTCTGCTTTCGCCAAAATTGCATTCTTCGTCAGTATGAAGAGCACATGTGAAATTAGCAAATAGCTCGCGAAAATCACACTAACGCAAATAACTTTATATAGAGTCTGTAGAACAAAACAATATCTATAGCCAAGAAATTTAATAAAGTATTGTATATCTCGAATTTTTTCTTCAACGAAAATCTTCCAAGTATTTGATATATTTCCCGTAATATTAAGATCGATAAAAAATATAAAAACCGTTCGATAACATTCACGTCTCATTTTATTGAGCTTGTAATTACACAAATATAAATGCGTTAATGACATTAGATCCTATCTGTCTCAAAAACCCTGAAGATACCAATAATAAAATCAATTAAAATCGTCATAGTTTCGCAAGCACATGTGAAAGTAGCAAGAGATGCGGAACCAAGAGTGGGTCATCTGTATCATTTTAGGATGACAGCGGTGGGCCGCGATGTAACAAGACCGCGGTAGGAAGTTTCATGGAGTGTAATTAACTCAACGGTATTATACCTATGTGTATGTGTGTGTGTGTATGTGTATGTGTGTGTTTCGGCAGGTACTCGGGGGGGGGGGGTAAGTTGGCTGGTTTGTGCGAATGCGACGGTCCGTTGTTGGCCCGCCTTAGACAACGCGCCCCGAACATAAATTCTGGTGGGTCGGTGGCGCAGATGTGTTGCGTCGACACCCGCGTGCGCGGTTGGCTCACAACCAATCCTGATCGCGTTACAAAGCAGCTTGCGGAAGCTTAGGAGGGCTCCGCGAGATTTGCATTATTTATCGGACACAATCGTACACATTTCGAGTTCCCCTTTCTTTATGATTCCCATATGTCTCATCTTCCTCGCGCTTCGATTTTCTTTTTTCTCGCCATATCTCGAAATACATCGAATCACAAGTTTTGGAGAAATAATGTACGAAAAAAAATTTTCTTATTCCCATTTTCTTATTCCTATAAAAATGTAATAAAAATATATATTTAAAGCATATTCTTTTATTTTTGATATTATTTTTTCTGGAGACCACCGATTACATCAATAATTTTTCAAGTTTCTCTCGCACGATATTTCCAAGCAATTTTTTTTACAGTAAGATTAAAAAATTACAGTTCCAACAACAAAGCTTAATGCGAAAATATATCACAAAAGATTCAGCTTCAAATCTTTCTGTCACCTCGTTTTCGCGCCACCGCTTCTCTCTCCGGAAGTTTTATGCGTTCTACGCTGTGGATGAATCAAGGAAACATTGCGACGTTATTTATAATCGATGGTTCTGAAATACGCGCTGCTGTATCCTTTTTTACGCTCCCGCACTATCAACATGAATAATAACATGGGATGGGCATAAGTATTCTCGAAAGTTCAATTTCCCGTCATGACGCCCGATGATTTATCGATGACGCTACAAACGAATGGACATTATTTACTGTCGCCATTTCGTTTTCCCGGCGACCGCTCGATATTTCGAAAGAGTAAAATTCCACGTGTATAAAGGCACGTTCAAACATGAAAAATCACCCGAGAGAGCGAGTGAGATATTTATTCGCGTAGCTCTTATCGACTTCATAATATCTGCATTTATTCTTCTCATATTTCAATGATTATTATAACGATTAATAATAATATTCAATAATAAAAAATCCAATTATTTAAAGATTAAATACCAACCGAAGAAAAATGATACACGTATAGTATCGTGAACAAAGAATGATCGGCAAAGCAAAGATTATAAGAGCAATCATAAAGCACCTGTGAGAGATCACGACACCGTCAGCATTTTTTGACTCTTTTCCACCCGATAGCGTACATGTATCCAATGCGAAAAGCCATCGCGGCCGCGAAACAAAGAAGCTAAAGCCGTTCAGGGAACATAATACTATCAAAAGCCGGCCATCCGCGGGGCAAGAAGACAAGCAAAATGCATGAGGTAGGCAACCGGGCAGGCAGGCAAGCATTCTTGATGAACGCGCCTGTTTACATCTATCGGCTGAAGCCGCCGAAGGTGCAGCGGCAGCCGCACGAAGACGCCGAATATTCCGCTGGTTTCCTATAATTTTATTTTCGCTTTTAATACGCCGTCCAACGATGGGATCGCGCGAGGCGAACGTCCAACGGCGCCCGACAGTGTGCACCCTGATACTAGATAAAGCCGACAACGAACGAGCGGTCGCCCTCCTTCACTCCCCGTCTTCGGCGTCCGCCTTTCAGCGTCCGTTTCATGCTATAACCGCAGCAGATGGCAGATGGCATCTTTCGTATCCGTGCGAGAGGGAAACGCGTTACCTCCGACCTACCAGACTTTTTTTCGCGGCAACCCCGATGATGTTTGACGCAAATTAACTCTGAATGTTCTAAGAGATATTTCTCGTTGCAGTTAATTGATTTCATGGATCGCGATAATAATGTGATAATGATTCAAATGATAAATATGATTAATAGTGACTTGGAAGCGAGTTGCAATCTGATAAGCTTGAGCTCTCCCGCGCGTGCTTTAATTCTTCGATGTCTTTCTTATATTTTTGTAAATTATTTCATATTTTTAAAAATAAAATTATCGAGCAAATATAGTGAATTATAGCAAATATCGAGCAATGTATAAAATTTTATGTGTAATATAAAAACGATAATCATTTGTCATGATTAATTGTAATTGCTACCAAAAATACATATATGTAGAATTTTTATAGCGATTTAATAATGATGGAAGTAGAAGCAAATTTAATTCGTATCTTTTTCTATTATAATAATGTAACGCTACTATTAACAAGAGAAAGAGTATGTAACTGATATAACATTTATGCACTAATAAAACTCCCAAAGATATAAAAATAGCCAGCACAGGATAAAAGCTCGACTTATGTAATTGCCGAGCAACGTGATTATAACTTCGAGAAACGATGGCATAAAGTCGGAAGATTACAATACAGCTTCTGTGGCATACTTTGCCTTAACAAGAAGACCACCCCGATGATTCCCGTACCGTATTGTTAGCTCTCTCGCGTGTAATTGGATCCGTCGTATGATTATAATGTTGCAAAACGCTGTTGTATAATAAAAGAGTTATATTTATTTCCAGATTTTCCTTAATCACAAAAAAATGATAGTATGCGTATTATATACGTTACTTACGTCATTCACGTGTAATCATTTCTTCAGTAAAGTTTACGAAATAAAAATATAACAAAATTAAGAGATTAAAAAATCTAACAACATAATTATGACTATGAAAAACAAAATGGAAAACTATATACATGAACAGTTATGCAGGAAATAACCCGATCAAAGGTTAATGTAAAAATTATATTGCGCGTATCGCGGATTATCGGATTACCAGCATGCTGATCAGAACATTGGCATTCCACGTGCGCTTAAAAGGTTTCAAACGCACGTTTTCGATGAGAGCGTAGAACCCGGTGCGGCGGTCGATTAGCTCGGAAGCCTTTCAGCAAAGCGGTTTTATCTGCGTAATGATATCTTGTAGAAGCGGACGAGAGGCAGAGAGGGTG